TTTGGCAATTTTTTTTTCTTCTTAACTATATGTTAGGATAACAACAAGCAACGGTGGTTGCTAACCTCTTTAAAGGTTTTATTGCAATTTACCCTGCAATGGCTTTTCACTTGTATTTACCTTCAAAGAGTTTCTGAATAATGTGGCAGTTTCCTTTCTCTAATGATTTTCTCAGTAATCCGCCAAAGAGGGCATATATTTCAAGAAACTTAATAGCACTCCTAAATTATGGAGGCGTCCCAAGAGAGTATTTCATGAATATCCTTGTGGATGCTTTGAGAGATGTTCAGGGTGTTTTTTCTAGTAAGCGTGCAGCTTTAAGAGGTATTAGGCTTTTTGAGCTGTTTTCTTTTCTTCTCTTTCAAAGTACTGTTACATATTTTTTGTTACTCTCTCGGTGTCTCTCTTGCAGTTTCCATTAACAACGGTGATATGGATGACTTTCTAGTTGCAAGAATGATTTTATCTGGAATTCCTCTGAATGAATCGTATTTGCAATATCGGTTGTCTATGCTTCTGAGGGAGGAGAAAAAGAGCTTGAGAAGCGGAAGGCTTCACGTGCCTGATTGTTACTATTTAATGGGGACAGCCGACCCCACCTGTACTCTTGAGAGCAATGAAGTCTGCGTTATCCTGTATGTATTACATGCATGATATTTCAATTAGTTTTACTTGATTGTATGGAAGCATTTAGTGTAAGCATTATAATACGTTCACCTACTATTTGGCTTTATTGCTGGGGATGAGAAATTGAATGAAGCTAAGATAAGCAAAAAGTATATTATCTTAATTCTTTTTATACAAACATATTATATTATCTTCAATGCTTTTCAATTGATTGACACATCTGATAAATAGGATAGAATTATAACTGATAATTTACTTCTGTTACTTGAAATCCCTGCTTTTGTTTTGTTATTTTCTTTTCGTTCATGTATTAAGTATCGACATGTTCTGTGTTCCCCATCCAACTAGTGAGAATGGTCAAATCAATGGGAAGGTTCTTGTCTATCGCAATCCTGGATTACATTTTGGTGATATCCATGTTTTAACGGCTAAATATGTGGAGGACTTGGTACCTGTGGTGGGAAATGCAAAATATGGTATATTCTTCTCTTGTAAGGGTCCCCGTTCAGTAGCTGATGAAATAGCTGGTGGTGATTTTGATGGTGATATGTACTGGGTTTCCAGAAATTCTCAGGTTAAGACACATTCAACCTCGAACTTCTATCACTTAATGCTCGCACATGCCTTTTTCTTATGAAATTTATGCTCGAATTGTTTTATGGTTTAGTTTTGTCAGTATCTTCTATTTCTGAATCGTCTGCACGCACCGTAAGTTGTTTTCTGAAATTACGACTTCACACTATAAATTTTGGAAAAAGATTCATTCAATATAACAGAGTCACCGCATACCTATTCTATGCTCTTATTTTTGGAATTATTTCAGTTGTTAGAGTATTTCAGAGCAGGTGAACCTTGGAGGCCAAGTCCTTCAATGGAAGTAATAGCTAATATAAAGCCAAGTGAATTTTCTGCGGAGGATCTAGAGGAGGAGCTATTTAAATTATTCTTGACAGCTCGGTTTCAGCCAAGGTATGTGATGGAGTGTATCTATCCATGTGGTTTTTACTTTTAAGATTTGAGTGCGGTGAAGTTTCCCATCAATTATGCTTACTGATGGAAGATTGGGATTATTCTGTGGTACGTTCAGTTATGCAAAGAGTGTTGCAGCTGATAACTGGGTAGCATTGATGGATCAACTACTTGTGCTGGGTGAAGATTGTAAAGAAGAAAGAAATCTTGTAAGGGCAAAGATTCTCCAGTTGATCAATATATATTATGATGCTTTAGATGCACCTAAAAAAGGCGGGAAAGAGGTCAGTTCTGTTAATGATACTCTGTCTCTTCATGAAATTGTTATACTATTTATGTTCTCCATAGTGTTTCTTGGATCCAGTGAGAGATTTGGAATTATTTATTACACATTATTACACAGACAATAGCTAGGTGGAGATCCATCATGGTGATAACTTATTTCTCAAACAAAAACTTCCCTTTTCAATGGAGAGCTTTCTTATCAACCTATGAAATGAAAAAACAATAGGGTCTTTTTATCATCCTATCATATTGAAGACGCTGCGCCCCCTTGTAAGATCTCATATCAGTTAGAAAGGGAAACGAAACATTACTTATAAGGGTGTGGAAATCTTTCCCTAGTAGACGCGTTTTGAAACCGTAAGGCTAACGACGGTATGTAACGGGCTGAAGCGGACAATATCTACTAGCGGTAGGTTTAGGCTGTTAGAAATGGTATCAAAGCCGGTCACTAGACGGTGCGAGACGCTGGTTAGAGTAGGGCTAGACCCTCTTCATAGTAGACGCGTTTTAAAAAACCATGAGGCTAATGACGGTACGTAACGAGCCAAAATGGACAATTTAATCCTCCACATTTTTGACAGTTGATGCGGTGAACATGGTTAGAATGATGCTTTTGAATCAAGGGCTTTCATGTGGATTTTTCTTCCCTTTTGATAGATTGAAGTTCCAGAACACCTGAAGGCAGGAACGTTCCCTCATTTCATGGAAAGGGGGAAAAAATCATATACCTCAACATCAATTCTAGGACAAATTTTTGATACTGTTAACATGTTTCAAGAAGAAGCGCCAAACATTGGTGAGTTTTTCACTGTCATAATTACCATGTTTTTGTTCACTGAATTAAGGCTCCTTATGCATCACATCGGTTCTACAATACTCAGAGGTTCAAAAACTTCCATGCTTTGAAGAAGAAGTGGCTGATGATACCTTGATGAAGTGGAAGTTTCAGTATGAGATGTATAGAAAAGAGATGAGGGACGCCTTGCAGCTCGATCCTGATGCCAAAAACGTAGCTGCTGAAGCCACCATTAAAAAGTACAAAGAGGTAACTTCAAAATCCAGTGATCAACACCTTCTTGTTAAATTGCTACTCATTAATTGTTATTAGCTTCAGATATTGTACGGTGCGGAAGAGCTGGAGGGCAGCCCGAGGTGGGTCGAGGAGGTATACAAGGAAGCTCTTGCAATATATCACGTTACATATGAGTATGCGATGAGCCATGGGTGTGTGCGCTATTGCAGCTTTGCATGGAGAGTTGCAGGTTCGGCTCTCTTCAACCTCTGTGCCAGAAAACATTCTGAAAACAGCTTTCTTTGCCTCCCTTCAGTTATGCGTCAGATTTTTTGTTCATCTTAGTTAATAATATTATGACCCATAATTAATTATACATACACCAAGATGTAAAATAACGTAAATATTAGGGATCATATTAAAATATTTAAATTACCCCAAATATTTAACTCCATATTAACTTTATAATACATATACATACATATATATATATATACATATACATACATATATTTTTTTATATCAAAGTCAAAGTATAATATGTCGTTGAATATTAGTTTTTTATACGGACTAAATTAATTTTTGAAAAGAAAGAAAAAAAAAACTAATAAAACTTAATTTAAATCTATATAAAAAGACAATATTCTAACAATATATTATAATTTTTTTGGCATAGATGGAAACATATGGTTAAACTGTAAAATTATTTTAAACTATATGAGTGATTTTAACCTTAAGCCTATCCTTTGGAAGCTTCATTTTAATATTGAGAACTTTTAATTTTGAAGAATAAAATCATTTCTAAGTATTTCCTCAATTAAAATAAAACAGAACTTTGACCGAGTTGTTTAATTATTATTTTTATAGAATGGTTTGACCGAATTGTTTAATTATTATTTTTTTGGAATGGAGCATCGAAACTTAAAAAAAAAAAAAAAATAAAAAAATAAAATAAAATAAAGAGGGATAACTTTTAAGCTAGATTGATTTTTTTTTCTTAGATGATTAGGTTAAAGTTGAAAAAGAAGGCGTCTATCATGATAGAACATATCAATTTCTAGCATAAACTTTCAATTTCATATGAAAGTTGAACCCTAAATTTGGATAAATGTTATCAATTTTTACTTTTTTTTTTTTTTTTTTTTTTATAAAAAAGTTAATTTTTTATTAATTTGTTCTCTAATTTTAACTAAGGATGTATATGGAACCGGAGAACCTAATTAATTTATATTTTAATGTTTAAAATAGAGATTATAACACGCGATTTAATACAATGAAATTTGGGTAAAAATGGCATTTCATTTATTTTTTAAAGTATGAGTGGGATAATTAAAACTTAACAAAAATCATTAATCTGTCAAATTTGTGAATTGAAATGTTTCCAATAATAAATAACATAGCAAATATAAAATAATTAGTCAGTTCTATTCTAAAATAGCTGATTCGATTGAAGTAGTAAATTTATATGAACATCTTTTACTTTCATAAAATTTAATGCATATGTATATATATTTTTTTTTAATTGAATTATGCAAGAATAATGTAATTTTATAATATTCCATTCGCCACCCGAGAATAAAGTGTTACGAATCAAATTTATTTATTTATGGATGGATTGTTAGGAACCAACTAGATTAATACTCTAAGGATTAAATTTTACACAGATTGTCTTGAATCTAATTTTTTAGATAAAGAACAATCTTTTTGTTTAAGAGTCAAATACTTCACAAGATAGTAGGATTAATCCTATTTAAATATTTTTAGCATGCAGCTCAATGTACATTAATGGCAAAGTTTAATAAATTTTCGACTCCAATTGAATTGATATATGTATATATGAAAATAGCCTTTAGCCAATTTTGAAAGTACTAAATTGGCTGAAAATCAAATTTGAAAATAAGCTTAATGTACTTTTTTCTAATTGAATTGGGTATTGTTAATTATATATATCTTGTTAACTTGGAGTTGAAGAACATAGAATAAAACGTGCTATCTTTTGAGAGGATAAAGATGATTCGAGTGTTATAACAATGTTCTGGGAATAAAAGATCAAACATTTGACTTTATTTACACTATCTATATTAAGTTTAACAAAACTGTTTATATTCATTTGTAGGCAGATTTTGTTTCTTGCTTCTTCTTTCTGCCACTCTCTTTGCGTGGGGTGCTTTCAATTTGAGTTGAGTGATGAAGAGCACTTTGAAGGAGGAAGGTGATGGCGTTCAGGACATCAATGGACAACACCGTGCTACAGAGAAGCAGCTCGTCACTCCAAGGACTTCCTCAGTTGCCAGGTATTATCCAACTTTCTTGGATGTTTGGGTTTGGTATAATGGCTTGTGGTTTGACTGATTACTTAACACTCTCAGTTCGTTCATCGTTGTATGTAACATAATCCCAACTTATGGGAACAAACTTGCTTTTATGGTGATGCATGAGATTCCACGTTGTTGGAGAGGGAATGAAGCCTTTCTTATACGGGCGTGGAAATCTCTTCTTGACATATGTGTTTTAAAACTGTGAGGTTGACGGCAGCACGTAACGGGCTGCCAAAGCGGACAATATCTGCTAGTGTTGTCCTCGGGCCGTTACAAATGGTATCAGAGGCAGGTTTCGGGTGGTGTGCTAGCGAGGATGCTGGGCTCGGAAGCATTCTTTATGTGGGTGTGGAAACCTCTCTTTAGTAGACGCGTTTTAAAACCGTGAGGTTGGCAGTGATATGTAACAAGCTAAAGTGAACAATATCTGTTAGCGGTAGGCTTTGGCTGTTACAAATGGTATCAGAGCTAAACACTGAGCGGTGTGCCAGCGAGGACGTTGGCCTCCAAGGGGGGTGGATTGTGAGATCTCACGTTAGTTAGAGAGGGGAATCAAATAATCTTTGGTGTGGAAATCTCTCCCTAGCAGACGTGTTTTAAGACCGTGAGGCTAACGACGATGGGTAATGGGCCAAAGTGGACAATATTTGCTAGTGGTGAGCTTGAGCTGTTACAAATGGTATCAGAGTTAAACACCGAGTGGTGTGCCAACGAGGACTTTGGGCCCCCAAAGAGGGTGGATTGTGAGATCTCACATCGGTTGGATAAGAGAATGAATCATTCTTTGTAAGAGTATGGAAACAATATTTTTTACAAGAGTGTGGAAACCTCTTCCTAACAGATGCGTTTTAGAACCGCGAGGCTGACAACGATACGTAATGGGCCAAAGCGGACAATATTTGTTAGTAGTGGGCTTGGGCGGTTACACAAATTGTATCAGAGTGAACACCGAACAGTGTGTCAGCGAAGACTCTGGCCCCATGGGAGTGGATTGTGAGATCCCACGTCGATGGGAGAGGGAACGAAACATTCCTTATAAGGATGTGAAAATCTCTCACTAACACATGCGTCTTAAAATTGTGAGGCCTATGATGATACATAACAGGCTAAACTAACAAAAATTGTGAGGCCTATGATAATACGTAACGTGCTAAAGCGGACAATATTCAATATTAACATACTAAGTAGCTTTTGATTCTTCCTCTTGATTCTAATCATGCTAGCCTCTGGACCTTTGGCCTTTGAGTTGCTATTCACCGTAAAATGGACAATGTTGTTCATAAGATGTAAACATGGATCCTTTTTGCAATCTGGTTTGATGCAGTGGCTATTCCTTGCTGAGGGATCCCCGCCATAACAAGGGGTTGGCATTTACAGAGAAGGAAAGAGATGCTCATCATTTACGGGGGCTTTTGCCGCCTGCCGTTGCTACTCAACAACTTCAGGTTGAGTTTTTTAGTGGTCATGTCTCTGATGTACTCCTTCATGACCTTTTCCATTTGTGATACCAGGAGAAGAGGTTGATGCAGAACATTAGACAATATCAACTTCCACTACAAAAATTTATTGCCATGATTGAACTTCAGGTTCTCACTTTACCTACCATTTGTTTTTCTTCTAAATATGTGCCAATTTTGATTCAATGGAGTTTGAAATTTGGTGTACAGGAAAGAAATGAAAGGCTTTTCTACAAACTTCTTATCGAGAATGTCACAGAACTGCTTCCTATTGTCTACACTCCCACAGTTGGTGAAGCTTGCCAAAAATACGGAAGCATCTTCAGGCGTCCTCAGGGTCTTTACATCAGTTTGAAAGAGAAGTAAGTATGCTTTTCATGACTTCCAGGTCTCTGTGAATCTTATAACATTGAGTCATGCAGGGGTAAGATCGTAGAAGTATTGAAGAATTGGCCCCAAAAGAGCATCCAAGTAATAGTCGTGACTGATGGCGAGCGTATTTTGGGTCTTGGTGATCTTGGTTGTCAAGTAATTTCTATGCAAACATTCTCTGATGAATTACACCTACTTTCATTCTGGACTGACTGATTTTGATATGAATTTATTGGATGTTTTAGGGAATGGGGATTTCAGTTGGGAAGCTTTCTTTATACGCTGCACTTGGAGGTGTTCGTCCTTCTGCAGTAAGCATCTTACTTGTAAAGCAATACCACGATGTTGTTCATTTCAGCTAATACCACATTTTCTTGTCAGTGTTTGCCTATTGCAATTGATGTCGGGACAAACAATGAGAAATTGTTGAATGATGAATTCTACATTGGTCTTAAACAAAGAAGGGCAACTGGAAAGGTTCAGGAGGCGTCTTTGTGTTGCTTTTGGCTGGTTTAAGTATATTTGATATGGATGCCTATGTTCTATGCAGGAGTACTATGAACTTGTACATGAGTTTATGATGGCTGTTAAGCAGAATTATGGGGAAAAAGTTCTTATTCAGGTTAGAATATGTTTGATATATGTTTGATTTGTTTCTGTACTTACTGGGTCTATTTGAAACTTTCAGTTTGAGGATTTTGCCAACCATAATGCTTTCGAGCTACTGGCCAAGTATCGCACATCTCATCTAGTTTTCAATGATGATATTCAGGTACTGAAATTTGATACCCATTATTTGGGAAGTTGTCAAATTTTCTTATCCATACTCTTGTTCTTGTTTCAGGGGACAGCGTCTGTTGTTCTTGCGGGAGTTGTTTCTGCTCTGAAACTCATTGGTGGTACCTTGGCTGATCACACTTTCTTGTTCCTTGGTGCTGGGGAAGTAAGATCTCTCCTTCCATGCTTCCATTCCTCCCTCTACTTCTCTAACTTCCTTGCGTAAATGAGCTACTATAGTGTTGTGAGATCCTGCCTCGGTTGGAGAGAGGAACGAAGCATTCTTTATAAGGGTGTGGAAACCTCTCCCTAGTAGACACGTTTTAAAACCATGAGGTTGACGGCAATATGTAACGAACCGAAGCGGACAATATCTACTAGCAGTGGACTTGGGCTGTTACAAATGATATCAAAACCAAACACCGGGCGGTGTGCCAAGAGGATGCTGGCCACTAAGGGGGATGGATTATGAGATTCCACGTCGGTTGGAGTAGAGAACATAGCATTTCCTTATAAGGGTGTGGAAACCTTTCACTAGTAGACACGTTTTAAAACCATGAGGCTGACAACGATACGTAATTGAGCCAAAGCGAATAATAGCTACTAACGGTGGGCTTGGACTGTTACAAATGGTATCAAAGCTAGACACCAGACGATGTGCCAACGAGGATGCTGACTCCTTAGAGGGTGGATTGTGAATCCCACATCGATTGGAGAGAGAAACGAAACATTCCTTATAAGACGGTGGAAATCTCTTCCCTAGTAGACGCATTTTAAAACCGTGAAACTGACAGCGATATGTAACGGGCTAAAATGCACCATATATACCAGCCAAGCTGTTACAAGTATCTTTCATTCCCACTCCTTCACATTCATGTTCAAAATGTTCTTACATATTTTTTGGCGTGGGTGCAGGCAGGAACTGGTATTGCAGAGCTTATAGCTTATGAAGTATCAAAACAGGTACTTGTGAAGCTAAACCAAACATAAACCTATGTTTCTTATAATTCATCTTCTGTTTTTTTGTTGTTTTAGACAAATGTTCCAATTGAGGAGACCCGCAAGAAGATCTGGCTTGTGGACTCGAAGGTGGTAGAAAGTTTAATGAAGCTTATGACAGAAGAACCATAATTATTTCTTTATGTGTTCATGCCATTGCTCTCTTGCTTCAACCATAAACAGAATGATGTTGTTGTAGGGATTAATTGTCCGCTCTCGTAAGGATTCACTTCCACACTTCAAGAAGCCATGGGCTCATGAGCATCAACCTGTTAAGGATCTATTAAGTGCTGTCAAGGTGTGTACCATCTCTTAATCTCGAAACGCTTTGTTGTTCCTCACCTTTTCTCACTATTTCAGGCAATTAAGCCAACAGTTTTGATTGGATCATCTGGAGTTGGAAGGACATTTACGAAAGAAGTCATCGAGGCTATGTCCTCCATCAATCAGGTTCTTTCTTCCCCCTCACTCATTCATGCCTAACCAAATATACATATTGGATGCATGTTAAGACTTGTGTGACACAAACGCAATAAGAACTCCAACATACAATACTTTCTTTCAATAGAGAACCTCCGTCGACCTAATATGAAGAGAAGAGTTGAGAACTGTGAAATCCCACGTCAGTTAGGGAAGAGAATGAAACATTCCTTATAAAGGTGTGGAAACCTCTCCATAGCATACGCGTTTTAAAAACCTTGAGGGAAAGCCTGAAAGGAAAAACCCAAAGATGACAATATTTGCTTGCGGTGGACTTGGGCTCTTACAGTTGGTATCAGAATCAGACACCGGACGATGTGTCAGCGAGAAGGTTGAGCCCCAAAGAAGGTGAACACGAGGCGGTGTGCCAACAAGGATAGTGGACTCCATAGGAGGGTGGATAGAGGGGTCCCACTTCGATTGGAGAAGGGAACGAGTGCCAACAAAGACGCTGGCCCTGAATGAGGATGGATTATGAGATACTATATCGAATGGGGAGTAGAACGAAACATACGCGTTTTAACAATCTTGAGAGAAAGCTCAGAAAGACAATATTTGCTAGCAGTGAACTTGGACGGTCACAAAAACATATTCCTCGATACAAACTGACATTGTTTTTTGTCATACCATTGTGCAGAAACCTCTTATAATGGCTCTTTCCAACCCCACATCTCAATCTGAATGCACTGCTGAAGAGGCTTACACTTGGAGTAAGGTAATACACATGACATTTTAAAGCCAAAGTTTTTCCTCTCTTTTTCATTGGAACCTCTCTATTTACTTAGCTTCTATATGCAAATTGAAGGGCCGTGCAATCTTTGCTAGCGGAAGTCCTTTCGATCCATTCAAATACAAAGGGAAAACCTTTGTCCCTGGCCAGGTTTTTCTACTTCTATCATTATGTTGGATGAGTTACTCTTCACCACTGTTGTCCCATATCAAGAGCTGACATATTGAGCTTGTCAAATCTCAAATCAGGCCAACAATGCCTACATATTCCCTGGCTTCGGTTTAGGTATCTTAATTTCCGGAGCAGTTCGTGTGCATGACGACATGCTTCTGGCTGCCGGTAAGTAGGATTGTTTAGTTCTTAACTAATCTTGTCTAGTTAGAAACAACGGACATCCACAGTAATAACAACAGGCTCACCGAGTTGACTTGTATCTTATTTCGCCTTTGTCAAACTAGCGGAAGCATTGGCTGCCCAAGTCTCCAAAGAGAACTATGACAAGGGGATGATCTACCCACCCTTCTCTAGCATCCGAAAGATCTCAGCACACATTGCAGCTAATGTGGCTGCCAAGGCATATGAACTTGGTGAGACATTTTCTTTGAATATGTTGCTATTCATGTAGTTTTGAGTACTCTTCCATAACATCAATTACTTAATCTCAAGGCTTGGCAACCCGTCGCCCGCGCCCGGCAGATCTTGTCAAGTATGCTGAGAGCAGCATGTACAGCCCCGTCTACTAAACCGACCGATAAACGTAACGAGATCTCGAGCAGCATGTGTGTTCTTAGGAGAGAACTTGAAGTGTTCCCAAAATCTTTACTTGTAATGGTATAATGTTTGTAATGTTTTTGCTTCATAAGTCAACTTCTTTATTAATGAAATAAGCATTTGGATGAACTTTTACTAATAAATATGTTTTTTTTTTTAAATTTCCGCGAGTTATGAATCTTGTTTGATATTAGTATAGGTGACAAGTTGATAATTTTTTTTATATGTTTTATCGTACTTAAATTCGATATTGAAAACATTGATGATGTGATTTCTTCAAATTTACAAATATTTATAAATAAAAACATCTGCCGATTAACAATTTTTTTTTAACTAAAATATTAAAATATTTTAGGTCATCTTGAGATTTTAATTTTTAAAAAAATAAAAATACTTTTTTTTTTTTAATAATCTAGAGATATTTTTTTAATTATTTTATTAAAATTAAATTATAAATTTAGTCTTTTCACAATTTTACTTTTCATAATATCTAGGCAGTAAGTTTTCGTGTTGAATTTGATGTGTTAGTTTCTATGTTCCACGTGTTACCCTTCCACCAATCACATGGATACAACGCCGTGTGAGCTGTACAAATGAAAGTACAGGAACACGATGATACGACGTCAGATGGGGCCCACTTACCAGAACTAGTTAATTATCCTGGCTTTTTAGTCACCCAGCTGCCAATCTCATCGACGTGTACACCCTCAGAGAATTCCAGCCGTTGGATTTTGAAAACGTGTCAGAATCGTTGCAGTGAATGTTTCCTTTTGTGAATTTTAAAGCGAAAGAAGATGGATTTTTATCATCCAATGAAGAGTCAGCATGGTTAGTCGACCAGAACAACGGCGTGAACTGAACACCATGGGATGAGAGAAGGACACGTGGCGGTCGAAGCGAAAAGTGATTTGAGTAAAGACGAAAAGAAAAAGGAAAAACAGTCAATCCTTGATGGCCTTTCCTTCCCCAAATGTGTGTACACGTGTCGACATCATAGCTGTCCTTTCTTCTTCCCCCTTTTTATCTCTCCCTTTCCTCTTCCTTCATTCTCTCTCTCTCTCCCTCTCTCGCTCTCTCTCCGTCCGGGAGACTACCGACAGGGAGCCATGGACGAGTCCGACCACCACCAACTCCACCAAGCCGATTCTCTTTCTGGTCTGTCGTCCATACTCAGCACCGACGATTCCAGAACCTCCTCCAGTTCCGGCGAGATTCCTGCTTCTATTCGCACCGAGTCGATGAAGGTGTCGGAAGCAGGGAGGCGGAAGTGCGTGGGGAGGAACAATAGAAGCGGACTGCACTGGGGGCTCACGTCGGTTATTGGACGGCGGATGGAGATGGAGGACGCTATCGCCGTGAAGCCGGGATTAATGTCTTCAAGATGCAACCACGTCGGAGGTTGTACGGCTCCAGATTCCAGAACCTCGGGTGAGATCTCGCCGGTTCATTTCTTCGCCGTGTACGATGGTCACGGCGGGTCTCAGGTGCGTCCTGTTCTCCCAAATTTCCATCCGCGCTGCATTTCTCATCTAAAATCCCAATTAGGGCTTAATTTTCGGCTCATCTATACCAGAAACAGCCACCCAAAATTAATTTGCACATAGCCAGTTTTAGATTATTAATATTATTATTACTAAGCAGCAACACATGTCACTCAATGAGTGGTCCTCAGTGGAAAGAATTTTGGATGCTCCCATTCAACGTAAGGACACGTGTTGTTGAAATCAGGGAGATCAATGGAATTTAAGATTCCAATGACGTAATAATCATTTTGGGGATGACGAAAACAGGGGTCTTCGTCTGACGTGTTTTAAAAATATATATATTTTTTCTCAAAAGAAGATTTATTTTGGGATAGGTACAAGATCTGTACGCAGGACTTCGGGATTCTTGGGGAGCTGGAAATTTTAGATCTAAGTTATATTTGAATAATTGATTCCAGAAGTGCATATGGTATTGTTAACTGACATTCTCCGGCGTGGATTCGTATATTTATGAACTGTAGGTGGCGAAATTCTGTGCGGAGCGGATGCATGAAGTGATAGCAGAAGAGTGGGGAAGAGAAGGAATCAACGGCCATGATTGGCAGAAGAGATGGGAAGTAGCCTTCTCTAATGGCTTCCAGAGGACTGATAATGAGGTTGTTTCAGAGGCGGTTGCGACCGACATGATCGGATCCACGGCGGTTGTACTCCTTCTATCTGGCTGCCAGATTATCGTTTCCAATTGCGGCGACTCTCGGGCGGTTCTTTTCCAGCGGAATAAAGCGATTCCATTAACAGTCGATCAAAAGGTCATTAATTTCCAAACCATTATAATTTTTCCTAGTTTAGAGAAATCAAATCATTAAGGGGGCTGCTGCATTTGTTTTATTGATGGTGTTACAGCCTGATAGAAAGGATGAACTGATGAGAATTGAGAGAGATGGAGGCAAAGTCATAAACTGGATGGGCGCTAGAGTGCTTGGAGTTCTTGCCATGTCAAGAGCCATAGGTTTCCGCCTCCCCTCCCCCTCCATGTCGATGTATAATTACATACATTTGCCTCTCAGCTTGACCATTGTCTTTCTGTGTATGGATGGTGTTCAGGGGATCGATATCTTCGGCCGTGGATAATTCCAGTCCCGGAAGTTAGTTTCACCACCAGGAGTGATGAGGATGAATGTGTGATTCTGGCAAGCGACGGGCTCTGGGATGTAATGACGAATGAAGAGGTTGGGCAGGTGGCTTGCCATCTTCTCAGGCGGCACCGCAGGTCGTCGACAACCGATAACACACCTCCGGCACAAATTGTTGCTAATAATCTCACTGAAATGGCATACGGAAGAAACAGTTCTGATAACATTTCTGTCATTGTCATCGATCTGAAAGCCAGGAAAGGACACCCACAGAGGCAGTGATAGAACGAGTTGGACATTCATATTGTTCTTCTAAAATCTTGATGTCTGGAAGGGAAGCTTCTAATAGCTCCACCCTGTTCTCTTCCATAACTGATAGATAGCAAACCATCTTTGTTTTGGTCACTGTTCTCACCACACTGCATCAAAAACATGTACAGAACCCACTAACAAAAATGGAAAATCTGCTTTACTTGGGCTAAACAGGTAGTAGTTCTTGAACATACCAATATGTATGTGCCCCTAAGTAGCAATTTGGACAACACAATACATTTCCAGACTATACAACCTAATTGTCCATCACTATACAACATCTTAGCTTTGGCTATCTCAAGACCAAAACGCCAATGCAGAGTCCTAAATGATCTGGTTCCACAAGCAAAGCAAGTAGAAAATTGAAGCACAGCTAAAACTGTAGAGGTAGAGGGTTAGGGGTGAATTTGGAGGTTAGCAAGATTAAAGAAAGCACCCCTTCGATGATTGAGTTGAGCATAGGATCCTTGCTCAACCACCTTTCCATCCGCCACAAAGGCAATGGAATCCAGCTTCTTGATGGTGTTCAGGCGGTGGGCCACGACAAGGGTCGTCCTTCCTACCATAATTCTATCCAGTGCTTGTTGCACAACTTGCTCAGATTGAACATCCAGAGCGCTGGTTGCTTCATCTAGCAACAGAATTGTTGGGTTTCGAATTATGGCTCTGGCTATCGCTAGTCTCTGTTTCTGTCCTCCTGAGAGTTGCACTCCTCTTTCCCCACATTCTGTCTCGTAACCATCTTTCAATGACCTACACCCACCATCCCCCAATGAAATAGATTCAAAATAACCAAGTCAAAGCATGGCCGAACGATTGTGAAAAGAACAGCAAACTTACGAGATAAACTCATGGGCATTGGCGGCTCTGGCGGCCTCCACAACCTCATTCTCGGAAGCGTCGAGCTTCCCAAAGAGGATGTTGTCGCGTATGGTGCCGGAATAAATCACTGGCTCTTGGCTGACAAGTGCCACATGCTTCCTGTACCATTGAAGATCCATTTCTCTGATATCCACACCGTCCACTTTCACCCATCCCTTCCCCACATCATAGAACCTCAGTATCAGACCAATTACAGTTGATTTTCCACACCCACTTTTCCCAACTAGCCCAACGCTCGTCCCTGCCTTCACTTCCAAGCTGAATTGGCGCAGCACCATGTTATTTGGCCTGCTTGGATACCAAAAATCCACTCTCTTCATCTCTATATTCCCTTTTAGCTTCTCCAACTTCCTCCCTCTTCCATCCTACCAAATCAAACAGTATTCAAATAGAGTTCAGCTTTGGAAATGTTGAAGATAAAGTTCTTTTCATTCTGTAATTTGCCAAAAAAAGGGGTGTTTGCGTACCTTTGATGGGTCGGAAATGAGTGATTTTCGGTCGAGAATCTCGAACACTGAGGCAACAGCAGCCGAGCCCTTGGCTAAATCTGTTGTCATGCTGCCAGCCTCGGCAATGACCTTGCCGGTGCTTACCAAGATAAAGAAAGTTTTGAACACATCCCCTGCAGATATTTGACCTTTCTCCACGAGTGTTCCACCAAACCAGAAATCCAATGCCCATGACATGAATGTTAGGCATTGAGCAGACCCCATGCCAATCCCTGCAAACCATGATTTCTTTCTAGCTTCCTTTCTTGGTGCCTCCTGTGCTTTGTCAAAGATTTCAAGGACTTTCCCAATGCTGCTGAAGGATGTTACTATTCTATGGTTATACACTGCTTCTACAGCTATTTGTGTGCTTTGATTCTGTGCCTTGATGAAGTTTGTAGAAATGGTTGAGAGGAGGACTTTCCGTGTGTAAAAGCAGAGAATTGTGAGTGGCTGGACGGCTATCATAACAAGGGCGAGCTTCCAGGCCACTGCTAGACCAAGGATCATTGCTATGGTCACAGCTGAAGTGGTTTGAACTAATAGAGAAACTCTGTCAGCTACAAGAGACTTGACCAAGGAAGCCTCATTGCTCAATCTTGAACACAGAGCTCCACTAGAATTTTGCTCCTTATCAAACCAAGCTGTTTCAAATGTCAAGATCTTTTCAAGTGTCCTCAGCCGAATTCTTTTCGTCAAATGCTCGCCCATATACGCGAAATTATAATGTTGAACAAGGTTCAAAATGATGGAAATCAGAGTGAATGAACAGAAAATCAACGAGTACGTCCTGATTCGAACTTGCATTTCGTAATGGCTTGGAGCAAAGAAAG